TGCAGATGGCCTCGTTGCAAATTTTTACATATCAATCGCTAGCAATCGCTTTATATATCCCTATCCGCTTGCCTTTTTGAAGAAACGGTGTTTCAACAGTTTTATTTGGATGTATCCTGGGAAACAGCGATGTACAGAGTACGGTGCGAAGTACTGAATTATTGTTGAGAGATCTTGCGCCGCTTGAAAAGTTTATCTCGAACTACCTCACGCTCGAGTGATTTTTTCAATAATTCGCGAACGTCGGCTAAGTGTAAATCGCTAATCTCTATGTAGTTTTCATCTTTTCTTTTCTCTTCGCGCTTCTTCGATAATGTATTTTTTAACTTCTCTGATGACGAATTGATCGACGGCCGGCTACGTGAGTTTCCAAGTTCTTATCGAGTTTCCAGGGACTTTCGATATCTCCAAGTTCATTCGTACGAATTTTCTGCTTTTGTAAAATATTGCTCCGTTTTAATATGATATTCCTTGTTAAGCTTTTCCAACAATGTTCAATCGTAGAGAAAGTCAATTAAAAAATGACTAAACTAAAAATTATAAGACGTATAAATAATTAAAAATCAGCTGTATGCAGCTGAAATTGGTTTTAACAGATGATATCGTAAATATTTTGTTATATTTTATATAGCGCTTATTAACATGATAATGTGGAGTATTCCATAAATATTCGAGAAATATTATTCCACGGAAACAACATTTTACGCTGAAATATAATATTTAAACATTTAACTAAATATATAACTCTGAAAATAATTTTTTAAACTACTAAATAATTAAATAAAACTACAAAATAATTGTATTATAGGATATTCAAATTGATTGCAAGAATATAAAAATTTTCAGCGGCATTGTTCATTATGTTTGAAAAAATTTCTTATATAATTATTTTGATGATTCAACAAAATTATTTTCAGATTTGTACCTATATAGCTATATTTTTAGATATTATATTTCAGTAAAATTGATCAAAATCATTTTTCCGTGTAGATTCAATGATTTATTGTTCTCAAGCGTTTGGAAAAATATAGAGAATATAAATTACTGTATTTCTAGAAAATAACGTGAAGAGAGTAAAGAGATCAACGACGCGTCCGAGAAAATTATCATTAGTCACTAACCAAACTTTCCATGTATTTTTCAATTTCCATCGTCATTGAATTGCATGACAATAAAACAGATTCTGCAATATTTCGATTCTTCATAGATTTTGTCGCGAAGATTGAGATATCAAGAACAATAATTTGATACTGAATTTGATACTCGATCTCTCAGTGGGTTGTGGCTAAACGTCCTCATTCCGTCTACTTTCAAGATGTGCGAGTTTCTTCTTTTCGAGCAAACCCCACTTTGTGGAGAAGTCCACGCAGTTTACAGGAAATACGAGTACTCGGTCGACGGTGGGTCGAGCTTTAATCCGCTCTCGTTTCTCGAAATCGTTCCCCTGCGGTGCGATCTTTACGATAAAATCGTACCATATGTAAGAACATTAAATATGTTATCGTTGTGAGAGTTTACGAAAAAAGAACGGAAAAATATAGAATTATCGAGATATTAAAAATCGAGAGATCTTAAACGATCTTTTTGGTCTTTCTCTCTCTCTCTCTCTCTCTCTCTCTGCCGGATCTCTTTCCATTCAGCACACTGATTACGTTATAAGCATATTTCTATAACTACACGGAACAAATAATTTTGTTGAACTATCTAAAAATTGATACTTTGCCAAGAGCACTTCTCTAATAAAATTCATCGTTCGGAATTGACGTTAAACTATAGGTCCCATATGATACTGTATAACCAGCAAGCGCACCACAGGCATATGAGAGAAGTCACCACGAGCTCGGCCACGAGCAATAAGACTGAGGAGGAGGATCTAAAAATTTGACAGATATAAAAATCTGAAAATAATTTTTTTGAATCAATAAATAATTATGCAAAACGCTTAAGCATAATAAGCAATGCCGCTAAAAGTTTTGACATTTTGGCAACCAGCTTGAGCGTCTTACATAATTATTTTGATAGTCCTATATTATTTTTAAATTTGTATCTAAAATTTTACATATTTCAGCAAAACCGTTCTTTTCATGAGATTGCTCACTTCGCTGCCATGTCTGTTATCAAGCATGACAGCCATTACTATGCACCTACTCATACGTATTTATAATCACATTTAATCCATAGATAGTACACATATATGTGTTAGGTTAATATAGACAAAGACTTCTCAGCATCACTTTTATCTCTTTCTATCATATGCAAAATAATCAAAGTGAGCAGTCTAATTATAGAAGTTGTAGTTACAAGCGTTTCCTATTTTAACTGATGAGGAAACAAAAAAAAGATATAGCTTATCATCCTTTAAATTGATATTCGTACACACGCCAACGCGATAGACTCCATTATAAAGAATTGAATAAGGCCGAACGTGACGTCAGCTATTAAAATAGTTGTAGTCGCGAACGGGAATGTATCGACAGGCTGCTTTAAATAAACGAGCTGGTTGTCGCAATGCAAAATATCGCTTCACTCGGAGACGCCTCCGAGAGATTTTAGTCACTTCCGTTTTCCGTGTTCATACAGTGTCCTTTTAAGTGAGCCCGTCGAAACGGTGCGGCACGGTGTGGCGCGGTGCCGCAGGAACGGTAATTAATTAGTAATTATATCAGCGGCTGCTGCCCCGGAAAAAGCCAGTCCTCTTGCGTATGCGCTCGCGCGCGAGCGGAATGGATCGTTGCCGTGTACTGGCAACGAAACTCTCCCCGATAACTTTGCTTTCTGACCTAACTCCAATTTCCGTTAATTATACCGTGGCTACCTACTGCCACCTCCTTTACTCTTTTCCTCTCTTTATTCCGTCTATCCTTCCCTCTAACTTTCTTTCTCCAGTTTTTTCTCCTTATTTTCCTTAATTCTTTCTCTCATCTCCTCTCAGTAAAGATCCGCGATACTTACAATTAGCACGCATCGTTGTGATGTCGGTAACGATAATTATCCGAGTCTGCGAGGTATGCTCTCGAATTACGCTACAGAGAGAACCCTTTGATGATCAGAAGGAAACGGAGCAGTTTATCTGTTATTTGGAATTTCGTAAATTACACAAATAATAGATAAATTATGGGTCACGCAGAAGTTACAACTATAACACAGTTTCAGATTTATCATTGATGAAGAGCCCGACATCAAAACCGTTCAAGAGCAGTTGAACTGTATATGCAGCTACAGATGTTTGCATCTCAATGTAACTGAAGACGCAGTTGCGACTGGAAACAACGTAGTCATGCGATACACCTGCTATTAGACACTGACATCTATGGGGGGGGGATACTTGATACGCGTTGCAGTTCTCCGTAGAACGTAATCTACGGGAACTGGAAATTAAGAGCCGCGGTAATGGCCGAACACATATGTCCAGAAACTGGATAATCCGGTTTCCAATGGTGAGAGAGAAACAGAAAGAGGAGGGGGGAGAAATACAAGAGTGAGAGATGTTCACATCGACGCATTGGCACAAAAGGTGCACTGTCTCTCGAGTATTAATAAATCCTACTGTCGTTTCCATCGACTCCCCGTTTTCGCAACTTCGAAACGCAGTCGCGGGAGCAGAGTCGGTATCTTCGTGTAGCGAATTCGCGAGATTCCTCGTCGTCTTTCCTGTTTTCCAATCCCTCCCTCCCCCTTTCTTCTTCCGGCCTCGTCTACTCCTCTCCGTTGATACCTCGCTCATCCGGGATTCCGAAACACTTGGACTTATTAAATGCAAAATGCTTCTGGCAAACAATGCTTAATCGCGACGTCGTTTCTCGTTGTAATCCTCGTTGCTATAGATGCAGACGCAGAGTGAGAGAGAGAGAGAGAGAGAGAGGGGGTGGGAGGAGAGGAAGGAAGATGAACGATTGCGCGACGAAGAGGGAACGGCTCTTTCACCCACTTGCGCTCTTTCGCGATAATCCGATCTCTCTAAGGAGATTCTCCATTTTTACAACTTCGTTTGTGCTCGCGGCGGACTCTGTTGCCGACGGGCATTCGAAATATTCGCGGAATCTCGTATTTACCCTCGCGGCTCGTGGAAAACCGGGCGAAAAAGACACCCGGGGGGGGGGGATGAAAATAGAGAGTAAGAAAGGACTTTTCCCTGCATCAAGCAACCACGGATGTCCACTCGGCACAACGGATCCGATTATTTAAAAGCAATGGAAATGGATGATGATTTTTCATTATTTTGGTTTATATATCCGAAAGTATGAAGACACAAGAAACATCGAATATAGGAAAAAGTATTTTGATACGGAGATTACATTATACGACGTATTGAGATTGCATTACACGATAATATTATATGATATGAGAAACGTAACGTTTCTTCTCTGTTGTTGAGTTTTCCCAGATATCAAATCCCGGAATTTAAAATATAACATCCTGTATGCCCCGTATATACGTCCGATACAAGGTTCAGGCTACATCTGCACATAATCCATAGATAAATACGGATCGTCGCAATCAGTTTACACGCGGGGATCTCCGTGTAATAGACAACAAGATGGAAATTATCCCTTTTCATTGATATAATATTACATTGCACGTATTTTCTTCTCTCGACTTCGGAGAGAAACATCGGCTTTTCAATTCATGCAATCGCCGCGTTTCTCGCGGGGAATGAGAAAATAATCCTGCGCGGCTCGACATTTTCCGCCCCCGAGGAAGAGGAAGAGAAACAGCAGCTTACAATTGTTTCATTACGTTTCTTTTGGCCACGTTGTTGATGAAGAAAGAATGATAACCCTGACGCGTACAAGCCCGCCAACTGTTCGTCGACGATCCAGAAAAATATTGTAGTCGCAGCCGCTTTGGATTGTTTTGCGTTTCCGGCGTAAACGTCGCGTTGACGAGTTCGGGGATCCTCAGATTAAAATCTGAAAACTTTTCGACCGAGCGAGTATATCGCCCATCGCCCGTAGGCGGTTGAAACAAACCCCCCCTCTGTATCCATCCCTCTGTTTCAGGCTGCACGTTCCCGGAGGAATGGTACGGTCGGTGGTTCCAGTCGGGGATTACGGACTTGGTGACCGTCAACGGTTCTGAAATCACCAGCAAGGGCTTCTGCATCGAGAAAAACGGCGACAAGTTTCTCGTTCACGACACGTGAGTGCCGTTCTCGTTTGAATTGCAAGTGTGGGGTTCGGCCGGCCGATATGAAACGATAGTATAGTTCCATCCTTTTATACCTTCCGTTTATACCCGTCCTCGTCCCCTCGTACTCGGCCTCCCGTCACTCCCCCGGACCAACGCCCGGCGCTCCCCGTCGCTCCCGTTACGCGCCTCGTACTCCCTTCTTTCCAGCTTTTATTAATTAACTGCCCTCCGACAAAGCGCTCGAGGCGACGTGCCAGCCGAGAGAGCACCCGGCGTATAAAACGTTTCTCCTGAAATTCCATCCGTGAAACCGGAGCAGGGGTGGCTTTGAGATCGAAGAGAACGGGCGATCCGTACCAAGCAGCGCGCGTGTTCGTATATCGATATATGTATCTTTACCGTCCGCCGTCGTATTCGTGCGTGTAGTGGTAAGATTTACGACGAATGCGTAGATCGGTGGAGTATCTGCGCGAGCGTATGACTAAATGTTAAATAGAAACTGCTCGCACGCTTGCGAATAACCCCGAGGCAGACGAACGAACTCGGTCGGGGGAAAGTCCACTTCATGATCTGGCGCGCGAAAAAGGCACTGCTTTTCAGTTAGTTATAAAAGCCACGTGTAACTTATAATCACGATCGTTATAGCGCCGACTATTGCGTAGCAATTACTTCCATAGCTTTTCCTCGAAACTTTAAATAGCTCGTTTTGCGAAAAGTAAATTGTACGTATTTCATTTCGTAGTTAATTACATCATATATTTTATGTGTTAATACATGCACGGAATAAGGATTTAAAAATATAATTCAAAATTTGATTGCACTATGAATGTTTGATTCGAAAATCTTTTATTGACGCTAAATTAATAAAATTATCATTAACTCTTCGTAGGCACACGTATTTTTACTTACTCCATAGGCACTCTGAGTCTTTTTGGTCCAACTCTTTTTTTTTTACTGTGTTTTAGGCTTTCAGAAGATGTAGAAAAAATCAGGATTACTTTTCATCTCTACTACATTACCAAATAATCATTTAATTTATATATTAAAATCTTTATTTAATAAAAATTGAAATTCGTGCCAAGAAATTTGAGAGTGAATTTCGCTTGAGTCGAAAAAGACCTAGTGTGCCTATGAAGGGTTAAATTAAGAAAAGAGCAGACAGTCCTTCTTTTATATTTACATAAAATTAATGAAGCAGATTATCCAATATTTTCGATGGAATTTTTCAATAGTGTAACGAGATTATCGTACCATCATGTTTCCCCGTGAATCGACACCATGGGAAAATAATTGAAACAGCGAGTTTCCGAGGTTCGATCACGTTATAGAAAAGAACACATTTCTCGCTGGCTTGATTGTGTAACCAGAGTTTTCCCTATATTTCCATTTCCAACACGGTTTCTGCAAAATCCGCACGTCGCACGTCGGTCCACATGTTATATTTCGGCGGAATAGACCGTACGCCGTCCGTCTGTATACTTTCGCGCGGTAGTTTCTAGTCAAACACGATCTTTTATCCCGCGATAGAATTACAAAAGCGATATCGGCCGAATATAGTAAAGTTCCGAAATAATTCGCGGCTGAGAAGGACCTCGAATCGGCTCGTTCTCGCTCGAAGCGAGAGTTGCTTTGTTGCAGCTCGACGCGGGGAAACCAATTAATTTTGTTTGATCGGCACTTTTTCCAATTTTGCTACTGCGGCGGCCGTTCCACGCTCTCAGCTACCATTCAAACCATGCATATATATCCTCATCAAAGACGTTAAACCGTGGTCCATTTCGTCCGGATAATATTCGCAATATATACATGGTGCGCGGCAGCGTTCATAGCTTAGAATTAAACTTTTAATTGAGCTAAGTCAGGATAATTCTCCAACTAATCGGAAAGATACGTAATCCCGTTCTATAGACATTATTATCACCCGTCGTCCTGCAGATCGGATATCGTATAGTCATGTGGGCGTTTGTGCCGATCGTTCGACTTGATTAACGTGCAGCTATAATCGTAACATTAGCGGGCAGAGAAGTTGTTTTTCGCGGTCGTTATTGATTCTTCCAGGAGGATGAATGTACGAACAAAGAAAAATAAAGCGAGACTATCCGCGATAGAATCGCAAGAACAATTCATTTCCTTTCGTCGATATAGGATGTATAATTGTACATTCAATATATATACCATTATTCGTGGTGGAACGTTATTTATTTACCGTCCGTTCTACTTTTTTTTTCCTCTACAACACTCGCCGATGCGATGCTCGAATTGGGTCGAGTAGGGATTACGTCGAATGGGCTAAGCGGTTTTGCCAACTGCAAGCAAATCTTTTGTGCGAGATTCTAATTCACGGAATAATTTCGTGAATTCGTGATCTTTGTTACTGAATACTCCGATTACAAACATAAACGGTGGTTATATAGGTCATTATTAACACAATTCATAACTTACTAATACAAAAATTAATTATATAAATTAATATAAAATAAATTTATCAATATTCTCTTTATTTAGAATTGTAAAGATATACTTGGATAAATATCTGTTCGAAAATTTTAAATACACATACTTAAAAATGTTAAATACTTTAAAATTAAAGTTTCGAAATTTCTCAATTTGAGAACAATTCTCGACAGTAAAACTCTATGGGACACCGGGACGTCTAAGGTGGACGTTGAATTGAGAGTAATTCTCTATTTGGTATCTATTTGAAAGTGCAACCCTTGGGAACGATTCCTGAAGGGAAAACTAAAGTAGCAAATAGGAAACACAAACTGAACAATCTTAATAGCAGTGCCTTTATTTGTACGCGTACTAGAGATTCTTTCCACTTATAATATTTTAAATATCGCAATATTTATTTTTGTGAAATTGTTTTAATATTTTTGATTTAAAAAATTGCAGAATTCTTGTATGAGTAACGCAGTGATATTTAGTTCTAAATTTAATTTTTTTTAGACAAAAATAGTTTTTGGAGAAATGATTTTTATAATTAATTATTGATTTTGTGGAAACACAATTAATGAAGAGATACTGAGAATTTTGTTTTAACAAAAACGATAGTAGAAGAAGGGCACTCTCGGTTGAATCAATCTTAAGCAATTTCGGTGAAGAACAAGCTTATCGTTTATTTATATCCATGTTGGAGGTAACCATGATTTTCTTAGGAAATGCGATACACAAGCGGTGGCATACGTGGATAGGTAGACGAACGGGCGGAGACAAAGTGATCACAGGAACATCAGGAACGCGAGCAGGATGAGAGGAAGGAAAGGACAACGCGAATGGCGCGGCGGGTGATGTAGAAGCCGAGCAGAGTTGAGAGCTAAGTTTTAATTAATGTAATGGAGAGTAGCGCGTGATTAGCCTCCCAATCAGCATGCTCCTCTTGCTGCTCCGCTGTGGTTGGAGAAGGACGCGTAATGCAAAAAGAGATGAAGATAAAATTTCTAATAAGAAGATACAAAGGAAAACAGAGAGAAATTAGGAATAAAAATGATCGAGAGCGAGATAAATGTAAAAAAATTTAAATAAATTGTTCGACCGGTATTATCAAAATTTTGTAAGAAAAAAATTACGTTGTAACTCGTTTTACTTTTGCATGATATTCGTTGATATCGAATTCAGTACTGAAGAAAAGAGCTGCAAAAACAAAATGTGACGATATTTAAAAAAAAAAAGATAAATTTTTTACGTTTCACGCTTGGATAGCCGTAACGTTATTTATTCAATGCAGATCACGATGCGCCAATTTGCGCGAGCGCAAGAGCTAAATTGTTTGCTTAATGCGCATCTAATTATGCTGTTCTGTATTCTGCATTAATGGATAATAGGTATGGGTGCAAGCGTCATAGTTTGTTTGTTGTTAGTAACGTGGATGTTACCAAACTAGCGATAACTTGCTTATCTTAAGATAACTAATCTAGTGCTACGTCATCCTACGAGCATCTAGAGCTGAAGAGAATCAGGAGAAAATTTCTGCCCGAAGACAACAACAGAAATTTATTTATTTGTTTATTCATTAAAATATAATTGCGATGATATGGTTGTTGTACATATTTGATCAATCATTGTGCTTCATAACAAACAATTGTTCCGGCAAACATTTTACAACGCGAGTCCGACATACATAGCATATCAATTAATTGATTTACGGAGATATTTATGAAGCGTGATACTATCCTACGGTTTTCCCGTTAATTCTTTTGTTCGATTCGTGTTATTTCTCACCGTGACAGGCATCGTCGTGATATTCGTTGACCCGATAATAGTTTCGATCGAGAACAGACTGTACGATACATTGCGCTCGACCGTCAATTAACGGTAACCGATAATCTAAAATAATGACAAGCGATTGCAGTTTGCGCCCTGCGATAACTGTTTGTCGATTTAAAAAGCGTAGAGGGCCTGCAGTTTAATTTTGTATTGCAGACAATTAAACTCATCTTGCGACAGCAGTATCGTTGTTGCGCCAAATGCAGGATGAAAGGCAAGAATAATATATAATTACATTATTTGTTTATTTACGAGTCGACTTCCATTAAAATGTAATTATCTACATTATACATTGACATATATTGATACAGGCATAAGAGCGAATGAATTATAGAAGAAACAGTACATTTTTTTTTCCGGAAAAAAAGAAAAGTTGAAAACTTTCAGGAAAATAAATTGCATCAGTTTAAATTGCTGCTTGTGATGCGATGTTGAATTATATCGAACAGCAGTTAGTAAAGTACCTAAAAAGTAGTTTCAGAGAAAACCATCGTAATAACTGTCTCATTTCTGTTACGTTGTAGATCTATGCAACTGCGAACGCCGATTAATCAAACAGATTATTTTATGCCCCGGCGAAGTTATTGCGAAATTATTATTACAAGTATGCTCGCGAGGATGCCTGGCGATTACATGATTAATTCCCCCTTCATGCGATGCTGGATACGAAATGGGTACACTCGTTAGCCCGCGATAATAAAATTAGTAGTCGCGGACGTCGTCATTAATCCTCCTTAAGCGAT